ACTAGATCTAGTGCCATTTTAGCACTAGATCTAGTACTATTTCGGATTAGTGCTACTAGCACTAACCACTCGCACTACGCCCATTTCGACACATTTACATACCTCACCATTTTCATTCCTATTTGGCACATACATCATACATATCAGTGTGTTTCATAATCATATCAAAGATGGCCGAATAACGGCTGTTTTATTTTTGGCCATATTACTACTACACAGAACACATGTTTTGATGTGAATAACCAATCTGTTGTATACGCCACTTGGAACTCAAGTTTCAAGGACACGCTCGCGACAACCCCTCCGCTTTAATATGACGAGACAAAGAGAACTTTCAAAAATTTAACGGGGACTGTGTCATTTTCAATGACTTGTTATAACTAAATCTTAATTGACATTTGCTATTGGTTATGTTTAGTGGAAGCCCAACAAATTATATTGTTTTCATCTGCAGTATTCATCAATAAAATAATGTTCTGAGGCTATATGCTAAATGGCTATTATTACTTTGGATGTCATTGCTTTCATCAATCTATCTAATTAGGATGTCACAGAAGAGGGTACAATATAATGTATGACAGGTGTATTGCCTTTGACATTATTGGTGGTTCTTTTTACCAATGAAGAGTTCTTATGGGGTACCACTGTATACATTTACCTATCAGCAGTTGATTGGCCAATCACCAATGTTGTTTAAAAAGGAATCAATTGGGTAAATTGAATGATTTATACCATGAATGACTGAGATCATTTTCTATTAATGTTCATATCATAACGACTACTCCATCACAAGAAGTTAGTTTGTGAAGAACGCAGTCCGAAAATGGCGACTTATGTTTTGACATCCGTGCGACCTGTATCTTAGAAATGCCTGGACCAATCACAATCAAACTTCACACATACATCATACATGATATTATACATGTGCACATCAATTTGTTTCATGATCTGATTCAAGATGGCCGAATGGCGGCCATTTTTATTCTAAAAATCATCAAAATCAAACTTGGTATATACGTTGGACATTATGGAATCTTGATGCACATCATTTTGTTTTCAGATAAGATTCAAAATGGCCGACTGGTGGCCATTTTGTTTTAATAAGGGGTGATCTCATATTCAAACACCTGGGTCAAACCTGGGTTAACCTGGTCTTCCCTTGCTAGCCCTAATCAGACCTACTAGACCTACAATATGCAAATTAGTAATAGGTTTGAACCTAACCTCCGGATTAACTGCCCATTAACGCCCCCACTGAAAACAAACAGAGAACAAAGAAGACAGACCTAGGGAAACCTAGGTTTTTCTTACAATACTGTTTCAGCCAGGTTTCAGTAGGAAAAAAAATAAGATGTATACTATGGAGCTCCATGTTCATACTGAGTGTTAAGAATTACAGCAGCGATTTTTTTTTCTTTGCAAGTCTTGTACATGTAAATGCTAATTAAAAACAAACTTGCATGTGTTTCACAAATCTATTTACATCACGTCATTTATAAGTGTGATGAAAAGTTTATTTATTTCTGTAATTGGTAATAATAATCAGTTTCGCACAACTCATATTTTGGTTTGTACCAA